AGGGGGGGGGGTCCGGTTCCACCTCCCCCCCTCCAAGCGACTAGAACGCGCTCATTCTAAGGACCACATCCCAAAAACAATTTCGAGCACCAAGACGGCCCAAGAGGTGTCCAATAAGGCCAAAAAGGCCTGCAGAGTTCCTCGAGCCGCGCTCAGCCGTGAGGCAGGGATGGCCAAAAAGAAATGCGAAACGTCAACACCATCGTTGATGACTGGTCCTGCCGCATAGAATAGCCCCCACAGGTCATCTCGGGGGGGACGAAAGGGTAGAATAGCAAAGGGTAGGGGATAGAGAATCCGCTCACTAACAGGTTTTCCTGGCGCCTCCTGGCGCCCACATCGAGGAATGGACCCGGCGGCGGGACAGAAGCCAGCTGCATGCAGCAGACTTCGTGACCTTGCCCTTTCCTACGGGGCCAACACATGTGCACCATCACCACCACCACCTCGCTAACGCCGTTCCCCTCCCAGTCTCCCAGGAAGGAGGAGGGAAGGAGGAGGGGAGGAGGAGGGATGGGGAATGGAGGTGGTGGTGGTGTGTATATTCTTGGGGCCCGCATCTCCTTATCCTGCCCTCTCTGTCCGGCCTGGTCATCAGCCCAGGCTGGCCCCAGCTGGCGACCAGAGCCTGGGCGGCCTGGACTGAAGGGGCCCTGGGACACCCAAATAAATACACGCAAATAACAGGATTCCCCATATTTTCAGGGTCTCTGTCTTCCCCCCCACTTCCCATATTTTCCTACATTTTCCTGGGGATCGACGATTACTTGTGTCTGTGTGTCTCTTTCCCTCCTGATGGACACTCCGACCCCGAGGCGCGAAGCGCGCTGGGGGCGCTGATGCCCGCCGATGCCCCGGACTTCCCTGGGGGCCTGCCAGAAGCCTCTACCTACAGTCGGCGGTGGACAAATCTCCCTTTAGTAAACCTCCATTTAGTGAAAACGGCCGAAGGCCGAAACCGACGGGCCTAGACCCGCAAAAATGACGGCCGCGACGCCCTCTCGCGAACCGAAAACGGCCAATTCGCTAATCGACGTGTCAGCGTAGGAGGTCTGTCCACCCCCGACTCTACCTACAGTGGAGGCCAATCCACAGGAAACCCTTCCCAGGAAACCCAACCCTGAGACCCCAGGGGGCCCTTCGTGTTCTGCTGCGGGAGCGTCGCGCTCCCCATCGCAGAACCTTCGAAACCCAAGAAACCCAGGGCACCCTGGAGGCAAGCAGGGTGTTTCTTGGCCCGGGTCTCCACTCTGCCTACAGCAAACCCGTAAAATTCGCCGGCTTCACGGACCAGAGGCGTGCCAAGATCTCCGGCAACTGCTTCAGTCTTTCTACTTCGCCCGCGCGGCCCGCGCGCATATTGCGCGTGGGGCGGCGAAAGGGTGTGCAAGTGTGTCTTGATTGTGCGATTGATGATCGCCTGTGTTCCCAAACGATGACTTCTCGACCCCAAGACAGATCTGGAATGGGTTCCGCGTTCTCCCAAAATGTGAATTCACATTTTCCTTTTTCCAAAATGTGAATTGTCATTTTCCTTTTTCCCAAAATGTGAATTCACATTCTGGCCCCTTCAGGAAGAATCCTACACAAAAATCCAAAATGTGAATTCACATTTTCCTTTTCGTCCAAAATGTGAATTCACATGTTCCATTTCCCCAAATGTGAATTCACATTTTGCTTTTCCCCACAATGTGAATTCAAATTTTGCCCTGGCCTTCAAGATCCCCAAAGCTGAGGCGCAGTGTTCCGCATGTCAGATTGGCTGGGCAGATTTCGACACTCACCTGACCGCTTTCGTTTGTTCCAACCTTTTCTTTTTGCGCCCTCAGCGCACGTTGCCTTCGTCGCCATTCCCGAGCCCCCCGCCCCCTTGCTTCCTTTCCCCTCAAGTCTCGCGCATGGGTGCAGGCGGGGGGCTTCAATTGGTTCCCCCGCCGAACACAGCAATTGAGGATGTATCGCCCATTCATGGCCCATAAAGACATCATTGCCGGGGCCCTGCGCCCGACCCCCACTCTCACCCTCCAAGCGGGGCCGTCCCCTGGGGGTCCCCAGACGCAAAGTACCCCGGCCAGGTCTGGGCCAGCGATGGTTTTCCTCCTGGGCGCGGCTTTCAGGCGCCCCAGAGCGATCCAAGAGAGAGGGCCACAAGAGGCGCCCAAGACGGTCCAAAATGGCCCCGAGTCGTCGAACGATCGGTCCGCGACACCCACGATGGCTTCCAGACGGCCCACGACACGTACATACAAGATCCCCGAAGAGACCACGAAGAGGCCTCCCAAGAGAGCCTCAAGAGGGCCCCGAGAGGCCCAAATCGTCAATTTCAAACTGGTGTTTGGAAGATCTTGGCCTTCTCGCCTGTACGCCTTTCCAACGCTCCAAGACGGCCCAAGAGGCCCCCAAGACCGCCCCAAGACGGCCCAAGAAGCCTCCAAGACAGATGGACACAAGAAAGCCGAAGAGGCGCCGAAGAAAGCCCCAAAACGGCCCCAAGAGGAGCCCAAGACGGGGATCAGGAACCAGCAAGTCCCCAAGAGGCCCCAGGAGACCCCAACAGGCCCCCAAGAGGCCCCAATGGGCCCCCAAGAGGCACCCCAAGAAGCCCCAAGAGGCCCCAAAACACGGCACCCAAGAGGCCTCAAAACTGCCTCCCAGAGGCCCCCGAGAGGCCAACCACGAAAGTCCAACCAACATCTATGAGGCCTCTGACCCACCACCCAGGCACGGCGAAAAGTTCCCACCGCCTCCGAAAAATGGCCGCCCAAGGGCACCGCATTGACAACAACACCCCGACAAACGACAGCGGCGAGGCAATAAGGACCGGCGGAATGAGCGAAGCGATTAAATGAAAAACCGCACGACAAGAATGCAAGGGCATTGGGAGGGGGGCGAGGCCAGCGAAAGCGGCCGCCAAGGATGGGCCGAAGGGGAAGGATGCATGGGCAACCTCGGACGGTTTTGCACCCTCACTACTTATGAGGGTTGACTGCATGGAGGCTGTCTGTGCACAACCCCCAACCCTGCCTGATCTCTACGAACAAGCCCTCCGTGCGGCCAGCGAGAGCGGAAGGGCGCGGCTTACACAGAGGCCTCCGGAATGGGGTCGGAGTAGATCGGGTCGGAGCATCGCCCCGCGCCGCCGATGCATCGGCGACGCCACGGTGGAGAAAACCTGGCTCCACATCGAGCCGCATCGCCGATGCAGCGACGATACGGCGCGATCCTCCCACCCCGTCTCCTCGCACCCCATCCAGGAGGCCTGGGTTGAAGAGGCCCAAGGACACACAAATTAATACACACAAATAATAAGATTCCCCATATTTCCCACAATTTTCTTGGGTCCTGCCTTCCCCCCCACTTCCCATATTTTCCCATATTTTCTGGGGATCGACGATTAGTTGTGTCTGTGTGTGTTTTTTCTCCCTCCCGATGGGTCACGGGAGCTGCCGCGCTGGATCATGAGATGTTGCAGCTCCCCTCGCCGCGCCGAGGGCCGCCAGAGGCCATCGGCGCGCCCCCCCCCCGCCCAGGCCTGGGCACGCTCCGCCCCCGGCGCCCCTGCGGGCAAGGCCCGCCGAGACCAGGATCTCGAGCCGCGTCCGGCCGTGGCGACGAGGGCCTGAAGAGATTCCCGCGGAGTGATGGGCCTGTTTTCCACCACCACCACCACCAGAAGTTGGAGGGGGAGGGAGTCCTCCTCCTCCGCCTCCTCCTCCTCCTCCCCCTCCTCCTCATCCTTCCCTCATCCAACTTATGGTGATGGTTGTGGAAAACAGGCCCATCACACGGAAACCTGAGAGAACCCTGCGATTATGCTGCTCCCGTCCTACTTAAGAACCGCATCCCAGAAACAGGTTCGAGCACCCAGAAAAAAAAAACACCTCATTACTTTCTTGGTGCTTGCAATGCTTCTTGGTGATCAAGGCTAAAGTATGCAGGTTGGAACATCATGGCCATGAGATCGAACGCAGACGCAGCGAAACAGAAATACAACATCGCAAACGCCCCAAACCCCATTTTCCTGCGCCACTCCTCGAGCAGGCTCGATCCGTGATGGTCCCAAGGCCCGAATGCCAGGCAAAAGCGCCCAGCTCGAAAAAATGGAGACGCCAGGATCTAAATGATCGACTTGGCGGCGAACAAGGGGGGAAGTGGAAAGGAGAAGGCCTTCTCAGACGGCGGCAAGGTTTCTCAGAAGCCCCCTCAGCCTTCTGAAAAGTTTCCAGCGTCTTCGGGGAAGGCATCGGAAACTTCCCAAACAGGCCTTTCTGTGTCTCGCGCCTTCGCGAGACCGTAAGAGGCCCTCGCGCCTTCTGCGCAAGGCTTGGGACAGCTCTGAGAAGGCCGAGGGACTTCCAATCCTTCTGAGAGGGCCCGCCCTTTCTTACTTCCCAACTGGGATCGCCGGGGCGGAGGCGGAGGCGGATGAGGAGGAGGAGGAGGAGGAGGAGGAGGAGGACTGAGCAGGGACCGACCGTCCCGGCATTCCTATAGTCCAACCACGAAATGTTCTTAGAACCCAGGAATGTTCTAAGAACAAAATCAATGTTCTTAGATGATTAACCCGATGTGTTAAACCAAGACAATATCAGCCAGAAATGTTCTAAGAACATTTCGTGGGAACCACGAACCACGAAAGGTTCTTAGAGCATTCTTTGGTGGGGCTATAGGCGAGCCGGGACGCTTCGCCCCTGGTTGAGAGGAGGAGGAGGAGGAGGAGGAGGAGGAGGACGAGGAGGAGGAGGAGGAGGAAGAGGAGGTGGAGAGGAGGAGGCGGCGGGAGGAGGAGGAGGCGGAGGAGGAGAAAAAAGAGGAGAAAAACAAACAATGAGAAAAACATAGTAAAAGGATGAGGAAGAGGAGGAGAAGGAGGAGGAGCAGGCGGAGGCCCGCCGAGGGCCCGCCGAGGGAGCCCGCCGCGGGCCCGCCGAGAGAGCCCGCCGAGAGACCCCGCCGCAGGGGCCCGCCGAGAGAGCCCGCCGGCGGCCGGCCGCGGGCGCCTCGGCGGGCGGCGGGGCCGCCGCGCCCGGCGCCAGCCGTGCGACGGCTGCGGCCAGCAAGGCGAGCCGCGGCCCGCGCGCGGCGGCTCGTCGCGCGGGCGGCGCGCGGGGGCGCGCCGGCTGCGCCATGGGCCCCGCGCGGCGCGGGCCCTGGGGGGGCCTCCGGCCCGGAGGGCCCTCGCGCGTCCCTTCCTGGGAGGAGGTGGCGAGGATGAGCCGAGATACAGTCGGGCCTGTGCCAGTAGAGCATCCTCCAAGAGCAGGGGATGGTTCCCCAGGGTGTACGAGAACATCCAACAAGCACGGAGAACACCAGGGCACCCTCCCCGAACCGACCTCGATCTTATACCTCGGCCCGACTGCAAGACAAGAGCACCAGTGACGCCAGGCTGTTCCTCAGTCTCAAAGCCAAGGCATCGATGAAGCACGCAGCGTGTGCCAACTCGAGACGAAGGCAGGCGCACCACACGGGGACACGAAGGTGGGGGGGAGGAGGAGGTAAGGTAAGATCAAGCTAGCCAGCTCGAGCGAATCAAGCATGGCATGCCCATTCCCACCCGCCCTCCCACAACATAAGAAACAGTGATGGCACAACTGGGGGATGCGCGGGCATTTCAGTGCGAGTGGAGGACACCCCAGGACACCGCATTGACGTCCGCGCGGGATGTGCGCCGCGTCCCATTCCCGCCACGCATTTCGCATCGTCGACGACAAGACTGGCCATGTTGGAAGGAACAACAGACACGTTCCGCCCTCCCACAACATAAGAAACAATGCTGGCGCAACTGGGTGCTGGCGCGAAGTGGTAGTAGTAGTAGTAGTCGTAGTAGTAGTAGTAGTAGTAGTAGTAGTAGTAGTAGCAGCAGTAGAAGCAAACGTCGTAGTTGTAGGAGTCGTAGTAGTAGTAGTAGTAGTAGTAGTAGTAGTAGCAGTAATAGTAGCAGTAATAGTAGTAGTAGTAGTTGTAGTAGTAGTAGTAGTAGTAGTAGTAGTAGTAGTAACAGTAGTAGTAGTAGTAGTAGTAGTAGTAGTAGTAGTAACAGTAGTAGTAGCCGTAGTAGTAGTAGTAGTAGTGTAGTAGTAGTAGTAGTAGTAGTAGTAATAGTAGTAGTAGTAGAAGAAGTAGTGGTGGTAGTAGTAGTAGCACTAGTACTAGTAGTAGTAGTAGTAGTAGTAGTAGTAGTAGTAGTAGTAGTAGTAGGTAGTAGTAGTAGTAGTAGTAGTAGTAGTAGTAGTAGTAGTAGTAGTAGTAGTAGTACTAGTAGTAGTAGTAGTAGTAGTAGTAGTAGTAGTCGTAGTAGTAGTAGTAGTAGTAGAGTAGTAGTAGAAGAAGTAGTAGTAGTAGTAGTAGTAGTAGTAGTAGTAGTAGTAGTAGTAGTAGTAGTAGTAGTAGTAGTAGTCGTAGTAGTAGTAGTAGTAGTATAGTAGTAGTAGTGTAGTAGTAGTAGTAGTAGTAGTGGTAGTAGTAGTAGTAGTAGAAGTAGTAGTAGTATTAGTAGTAGTAGTAGTAGTAGTAGTGGTAGTAGTAGTGGTAGTAGTTGTAGTAGTGGTAGTAGTACTAGTGGTAGTAGTTGTAGTAATTGTAGTAGTAGTAGTAGTAGTACTAGTAATAGTAGTAGTAGTAGTAGTAGTAGTAGTAGTAGTAGTAGTAGTAGTAGTAGTAGTACTGGTAGTGGTGGTAGTAGTAGTAGTAGTAGTAGTAGTAGTACTACTACTAGCAATAATAGTAGTAGCAGTATTTGTTGTAGTAGTTGTAGCATTGGTACTAGTAGTGGTAGTGGTCGTGGTACTCTGTATTGTTTTTTACAGTCAGGATGGGAGGGCCCGCAGCCCGCATGGACGTCCGCGCGCGATGCGCGCCGCGTCCCATTCCTGCCACATATTTCGTACCGTCGGCGACAAGGCAGGCCATGCTGAGAGGAAAAAACGGAGACGTTGTATTGATTTTTTACAGTCTGGATGGGCGGGCCCGGATTGACGGCCGCGCGCGATGTGCGCCGCGTCCCACTGCTGCCACATACTCCGCACCGTCGGCGACAATGCAGGCCATTTTGAGGGGAAAAAGCGAAGACTTTGTATTGATTGTTTGCAGTCAGGATGGGCGGGCCCAGATTGACAGCCGCGCGCGACGCGCGACGCGCCCCATTCCTGCCACGTTTTTCGCATCGTCGACGACAAGAAAGACGATGTTGAAAAGAAAAACGGCCACTTTGTATGATTTTTTTGAAGTCCGGATGGGAGGTCCCGGATTGGGTCGCTATCGGCCGGAATACGAGGTAGGTGGGGATTTATACTAATAAAGGACAAGGGTCAGGTAAAGCTCCATTGAGGCCGCGGTTCCGACGGTCTGGGGAGAAGATCGGGGCAACCCCTTCCATGCGAGACTTCGGCGCTCCTCAACAGGAGGGCCCCAGCGACGACGCCTCTCGGTGAACGTCGGCGCGCGGTCGTTCTCTCTCCGAGCCTGCTGCTGCCCAGACGCTCTAATTCGGGTTGATCAACGCCTGCCCCTCGAGCTCGAGGTAGCCAGCGGGCCCGGGACCAATGAAAACAATAGCTTCACCAGTGCACTGCAACATGGTGGATCGCCGTGGCCACAAGGACCGGGCTGCCGACCGCAATGCGAAACAGTTTGGCGAAGAGCTAGGAAGGGAGACTGCCCGCCACAAAGTTGCCAAACAATTTGCGGAGGATGACCTGCTGAGGCCCCCTAGCGCTGGGCATCAGCACAATAACAACTCCTGTGAACAGCGCGCGGAACATATTCATGGCCACGCGCCTGCTTCATAGCGCAGAAGATCGGGCCAGCAACCTTGAGCGCGCACTGCGTCGCGCACGCCGCCTCGAGGAGGCGGTTCCTCTGAGCGCTGATGACGCCCCGCATCAGCGCAAGGTCAGATTTCTTCTCGGTCGTGGTGTTCTTGAAAGGCAAACTCTTGCGGGCCTGGATGCCTGGGTCGCTGCCGCCCGCCGAACCGCCCGCTGGCTCCTCACCAATTTTGCCGAACACGCAAACAAAAAAAAAGCTGAGCCATCTGGAGCGCGCGCGCGAAAGTCCAGTGCGGCGATTGGACAATAACCGCAGTAGCAGGGAGACAGGTCAACTACAAAAACACTGAGCCTCAGAATAGCGACTGCAAGAAACTGGGCGCCCAAGGAAGGCAGCGCGAGCCCTGGGGCCTGAAAGACGAAAAACAACACACACTGAACGCCACCAATTCCCTTGCCCCCCCTCGGGGCCCCAAGCCCGGCGGGCACGCAGTGGACCGCCCGCGGGAGGAGGCGAGGAGGGGCGCGCGGGGGCCCCGCGAGGAAGGCGCAAAGATTGCACGATCACGGGGGCGACCCCGATCCTGCCCAGGGGCGCGTGGCCACAAAGGACAACGTAGTCTGACGGAACCACTCCGATCGAGACGGAACGCCGGAGATAGCATGAGCAAACGCACCGGGGTTCCGCCCGAGTTCGCAGCGTGGCAAGCATTGCATGAGGGTTTGCCTACAACGGGGTTAGAGCTCAAGCATTTGGCCATCCAGAGATGCCACTGGGCCTCAGCATAGCTGTCAAACGAGACCTCGCAGAGCCCGCAACCACAGGGAATGGGGTGCGCACGCTTGAAGACCACGGCCGGGCCACGGAACCTGGGGGGGGGGGCGATTCACGAGGTCCTTGATCAAGCGCCCGATAGCAGTGCGTTTGGTAGAGCTCACGCTGCCGCGCAACACGCACGAGAAAGGTGCACAAAAACGCTCCGACAAACGCGCGACATCCGTGAACCGGGAGCTTGTTGCTAGACTGACGACTGAGGAGTTGGCGCCTGGTGGGGGGCGCGGCAGGACAGACCCCGCCCCCGCCCAGGCGAATGCCGCGCCCGAACCAGAGGAGGAGGAGGTGGAGGTGAGGGTTGCAGACCGAAAGAGACAGATCGGGGAATCTGTTGACTAGGATTCGCTTGCCAGAGCGCGGAGATCCACGGACAGAGAAACGCGCCGAACATCTCCCTCGCGCAGCATCGGCACAGGGAGCTCTTCATGCCCACCCACGCAAAAACAAATCGGCAACGTCGTCTAGAACTTGCAGCCGCCATTCGAGCGCAAGTTCCACCCACGACCCTCTCCATCAACGCACCCGAGCTCCATCTCCCCTCTCGTGCTCACACCAGACCGCGCGCCCAAAAGCTAAGCGTTGCGCAGCGGTCGTCTCGCCAAGTCTTGCTTCCGCTTGAGTCTCTGCATCCGCGGAGCCATTGACGCGGGCACCATCTGCGGAATGCGCGAGACTTCCGAACTAGACATCGCATGATAAGTCGCGTCGCACTCCCCGCTGCCCCCCCATCGCACTAGCGGCGACTCGAAGAAGACAGCGATCCATGCTCGCCCGCGCGCGGTCGAGACTGCGCGCGCTGTCGCTGGGCGGGGCCAGGGCCGCAAACCCTGATGAGGGAGCCCCTTCTCGAACGGATCCGAAGGCGATCCCTTTCCAAAACCCGTTGGTGCCACGTTGCCAGATTCCCTGAGAATGATGATAACTCCGCCGGGCTATCAGAAACGCCCGTGGAACGTCTCTCAACAGGCTGCCGTCGGCTTGGAGAAACAAATTAGATGCCTGTGGTAGCGTGAGGCGTGGCCCGGCACGTCCTGTCCACTTCCCAACCCCCCCCCCTTCTCCGCGCGCGTCCCGCCGAGCGGCCCCCTCGTAGCTGCGTTGGGGCGGTGGCCGCGCAAGTGCGCCAGGCTGCGCCGCTTGCTCGGATTCGCCTGGAAGCTGCGATACTCAGCCTGTCTTGCAGCAAGGGGGTGTTTTGTTTGTTAGAACAGATCAGTCCTGCAAGCGCACGCGCGATCTGCGTTCTCGCCAGATCACCCGCGAACCTCGCAAGCGAAATATCGATCGGTCTATCCGACCAACAACAACGCAGCAGTCCGTCGTGCACGCCGTCGGCCTGGCAGCGTTGCAGCCGGGTGGCCGCGACGCTAAGCCCAGGGCGATCTGTGAGAACGACCCCGTCGACTGACCGATGTCACGGGCCCAGGAACCATCGGAGGTGCGATTGCACCCCCGGGACGCGCGCCCGAACCGACGCCCATGTCCA